TTGGAATGGATGGAGGTGGGGGACTTAACTGAGATGATGACTACGGAAAGAGTAGCCGTTCAGTCACTCAATGAATGTGCAAATTGGGGCAAACTGGTTTTTCCAGGGAGAGGGAGGGTGGAAAGTAAATTGACCTTCTATGGACAGAGCATAATTTGTGTGTCTACAGCTGCACTCAAACAGATATTTTTGGTGCTAGGCACAGCGTTAAGCAACCAGGCACATATGGATAAATAAAACAGGATCCCTGTCCTGTAGTTGTTTAGAACCAAGGTAGGGGTGACCAGATCGAGAGATTTTCTCTGCTCAAACTGAGACAGATCCGGAGGTGAGATTTCAGAGGCTGCATGATAAGGTGGCCCTTTAAGGTATGTGTTGGGGGGAGGCACGTCTTCACTTGCTGGTCCTGCTCTTCGCCACATACACGATGAGTATATAGCTACTACTATCCGAACGATAGCTAATTACTTAATTAGTAATAATAATTATTATTCATAATTATTTCATTATGTCTAAATAAATATTCTATTATTTATTTTTATAAATAAACAGATTGGTTTATTGCAATAATAATTAAATAATTAATGGAAATAGGTATCGAATTACTAATAAGTTTAGTAATGATTAACTAATAATTAGCAAATTCACTGCCACCATTCAAGCAGTGCTGTGAAGTACATACGCTGGCTCTTCCCTTTCTTTAAATTCGGAATGCTGGCCACCACTGGTGCTTTTCAAACTCTCTCACTTTCTCAACTTAAAAAAAGTACTGCCTGGAGAATCGAGCTTGCTGTGGGTTTGTGACCTTTGGGAAGGTACTTTTTCGCCTTGCCTCTGGTCTACAGGAAAGCTTGCAAGGAAGCGTGGTGAAAACCAGGATGCTGCTTTTCAGACCCCTGGGCGCCAGCACCCGTGCTGTTCGTGAACCAGTCGCCCTGGAGTCAGACTCAGAGCAGAGAGCAAGCTGGCGCCCTGCACACAGAGGCTGAGAAGTTAAGCTAGTTCAAGAAGAGTCTTGATTAATGGACGCATAGGTAATGTAGCGGGAAATTAAGGGAAATTAAAGTGGTAGCGGGTTATTAAGGGAAATCAGGGAAGTTCCAAGTGTAACTCTGGCCTTTCAGGATGGTGTCTTAGAGTGCACACACTGGACTCTCCCTCACTTTCCCTCAGCGTCGTGGCCAGAATTCTGGGCTAGTGGCCTTTGGTCTGATCTGCGGTGACATTTTGGATCTTCTTAAGAAAATCGTACAAGAAAAGGTCATGCTAGAACACCCAAAAAAGCAGGTGAGCTGTCTCCAGGGGCAGACTCTGCCCCGAACACAGCTCCAGATTTAGGACACGAGTTCTTCAAGCGTGTCACACTGGCACCTGCTAAACACAGACTTTCAGTGTGGATCGTGCTAATGGTGCTAATGGCGATGATGTCCCTGGTGACAGTAGCGACCACCTTCATCTCCTTTGTCTCCAGTGGATCAGGGGAATAATTTCATCGAGATGGTCGATTTCAAAATGGACAATCTTGGAACGTTCCCTTGACTCCAAGCACAGAGAAGTTTCCAGAGGTTCTGGCCTTGGCTAGCTCCACTCTCACACCCCAAGATATGCGGCATTCGGGGGGCTCCCAACAGCATTCCCTCTTGGGGATTCAGCATAACGTCCCTAGGAGCAGAGACGGATTTAGTTCAGAGCTCAAGGACGCCCATCACCCTCTGCCCTTCCTCCTTCTCTCTTCCTTCTTCCTTCTCCTTCTTCGCTTCCTTTCTCTCTCCTTCTTCCTCTGCGTTCTTTCTTTCTGCTGTGAGCCCTCTTGCTGTGGCGTGGATGACTCTGTTAGGTCTTCCTGGACATCATGGGAGGAAAGACATGTCACTGAGATGTGGGGCTGCCCCCTCTGTTCTAGCTCACGCTGGGTCAGAGCCGTCAGCCCTGGTAAGTCCACCAGACTGTGGAATCCCTAGCGTTGATGGGAAAGAAGAGAGGGGCTTTTGGGCCTCTCGCTTTCCTGTTCGTCAGAGTCATCACTCTCAACCAAGTTTGGAGCAAACACTGGGGACTGATTCAGTGACGGAAATCCCAGACTTCAAGGCTGGGCTGGGGGAAGGCAAGGGCGGGATTGCGGACAGGAAGTGGTGTGGTTGCGTGGGTGCGAAGGAAGGCTTCCTCCCTCTCTGACACTTTCTCAGCCTGCCTCCCTTCCCCCAGCCCAACAAACAGCTACTCTGAGACTTGATTCAATGCCTTGCCCAGGGCTTGACACACAGCAGCAGTGTAAACAGAACCAAGAGAATCCCGTCCCCAGCAACTTGTCTACTTCTCTTGCTCCTCCTGGAAAAATATAATAGTTTCTCAGATTTGTACAGAATGTCTACTTTTTCAGAGTAAGAGTTGGGGAGCTGAGACAGCCCATAATGTTAATGGGAGCTTGATAAAGATGTTCTTAGCGGCCAAGTAATTGGCTTTTCAGACTTACTGTTACATCTCCTGTTATCTTAGAAGGGACATGGTCCCAGCACCATGACGCACATCCTGGGCTACCCTAGTTTTGGTTCTCCGACTCCCAATTTACTGTTTTGACATCAAAAGTGGACGCCTAGACATGCCTACATGTGAGCTCAACCTCAATGAATATACGGCTTAGGGAGGCAGCCCCTGTGTTCTGCAGCTAATTTGAATAAAGTTCTTGATAGCACATCAGGCAATCGGCACCTTGGAACAAAGCAGCTGGATCTGGGGGATGATTAAGGAGACAGAACTGAAGGACTTGGAGAAATAATATGTGATGTGAAGTCTGCTGACCAGGTGATAATGGAACCCTTTGTGAAACAGGTAAAAATAGATTGAGAAGCGTGTTTGAAGGGAAAACGATGGCATTGTGAGTACAGCTTTCAACATGTTGAGCAGGATATGCTTGTGAGATGCCCTCTCAGAGACACACGATGGGCAGCTGCATATACGGGTCTGCCTGCAGAAGAGAGCTGGGTTCTGGGTACAGATGGAGAGTAATCGGTATAGGGAGAGATAATGACAGAAGCCCAAGAAGAGCAGCTCCTTTATATTGAAAAGCAAATACAGGGTGAGAGAGAGAGAGAGAGAGAGAGAGAGAGAGAGAGAGGAAGAAGCACAGAAGCCCATGTCCTAGGCTGGCGGGAAGGAAAGGAAGATAAAGCCTGAGATGTACACATTAGACTTGGCAATCCGAGCTTGCTGCAGACCTCCAAGTGGGCAGTTTCAGTGAGGTGGTGGGAGCAAAGACTAGATCTTCTATGGCAGAGACTAAATGTCATCAAATCTAGTTCCTCCAGCCTGAACATGAGGCTAAATTTCATTTCCCGACCTCCCTTGTAGCTGGGTGAGCCTGTGGGATTCAGGTCTGGCCCACGAAGTGTGGGCAGAAAATGATGCACTACCACCTCCAAGATATAGTCCCCGCTTCCCACACTCCTCCATGGACCCCTCCTCTTGAGTCTCCCAGCCAGAGTAGAGGATCCAGGGAGACTCCAATGCCTTGGGGTACAGAGCAACTAAATGGAAGATTGGTCCCTGAATTACCACATAGAGTCAAGGGGCTCAGGCCAGTGGGGCCGGCAGGCACGGACACCCTGGGGGTAGCAGGAGAGTGGGGGAACAGCCAGCTGAACAGCAGTGACAGCAGGGGTCAGAGCAGATCAGCGGTCAGGACAGCTAGAGGGGTCAGAGCAGATCAGCGGTCAGGACAGCTAGAGGGGTCTGCAAGGCCCTTTGTGACCCAGCTGTGGTGGCAGGGAAGTCCCACTGGCTTTTGCTCTGCAGCCCCCTAAGGGTGCCTCCCGATCTAGCAGAGACGTGTCTGCGGGGGAGATGACCCGGATGGGGAAGCCAGACTGAGTCGCTGCACAACACCACGAGGAGACAGAGACGACCTCTTCCGGAAGAGGAAACATACTGTCTCTCAATTCCAAGGACTTGGTGAAAAGAGAGACGACAATCATCTTTATTATCCAAATTCTAGAGAAAACAATTCTGCATCACAGCAGAACCTACTAGCTGCCAAAGTGGATGTGAAGTGACTCCTGAGGGTGGCCTCCCGGCCTGGGTAGGCGCCAAGCTTTGAGAATCATGTGCCTGTGGGACATGGCCCAGAGCTCCGTGGAGGACGCCTGGCAAGGTGCCTGCCCCGTCTGGCATGGATGTGGCTGTGAGGGAGATGACCAGGACAGGGAAGCAAGATCCATGAGCCACAAAACAACCCGAGGACACAGAGGTGACCTCTTCCGGAAGAGGAAACAGTGGGGAGGCCTGGCCACGCGTCCCCTTGTACTCAGATGCAGAAGGAAGGAACCTTCCTCCCAGGCGTGAAAAAGACCAAGGCTCCTCACTGGGCAGAAGAAGGACGGTCCTTGGGCTTCACCGGGGCAGGCAGCTGGCTATGGGGTCCGGCCGTGGCACTGGCACAAAGTTCATGGGGCACAGCAGCAGCGGGCACATCTTCTCGTGCTCCTTCAGAGCCTCGCTCAGGTGCTTCAGCTCCTCCGTCAGCTTCCCGATCTCTCTCCGCAGCACTGTATTTTCTTGCTCCAGGCACTCATATTCCTGAGGAAGACAGAATGGGCAAAATCATCCCTGAAAACACCTTCTCTTCCTCTGTCCTCCAGGCTGATCTAACCTGCACCGTGACGCTTGCCTCCTTCCCACGAAAGCTTTCTCGTTCACCATGCCCCCTCCATCACTCGCATCTGTTTGTTCACTTGCTTAATGTCCTTGTCCTCCTGCCAGGATGGAGGGTACATCCTTTGTTTGTCTAATCCAATTTACTGAGGTGTAATTTACATAAAATAAACACATCTATTTTAAATGTATAATTCGGTGAGTTTTGACAAATGTCAATAACGACATTGATCGAGACCTAGAACATTTCGATCACTCCAAAAAGTTCCCTCGCACCCCTTTGCGGTCAGCCTCCCCTACCCCTAACTGCTGCTCTGCTTTCGAAAGATCCCTGTTGGGTTCACTGCTATGGCTCCAGCACCTGGAACAGTGCCTGGAACATAACAAATGTTTATTGAGTGCTGAGTAAATGAATGAGAATACCCCTTGCGTTGGCTTTGCTCCAACACTCATCTGTTTAATTTCCTCTACATCGGTTAACACAGGCTTAGAACTGGAGGGGATCATAGAGACCCCTTGGCCCAATCCACATAGTGTAGAAACTTTCCCTCTAGCTCAGACATCCAGCTGGTGCTGAGCACCCTCTCCTGCAAAGGACAGTCCTTGCCATTTCTGAACTGCTCTGTCAGAAAGCTCCTTCGCACTGATCCAAAAATCTCTCTCTCTTTTACATTCACCTATTGGGCTTGGTTCCACCTTATGGAACCACATAGAGTAAATTCAATACTTTTTCAACATCACAGTTCTTGAAACTTTAGGAGAGAGCCCCATACCACTTCCCCTTAGGTATTCTCTAAGCTCAACTGTCTCAGGTCCTCTGAGTTCTTGGGGTTTTAGGACTCCTGGACCTTTTACCCTCCTAGAGTCCGTCAGACACATGCTCCAATTTGCCAGGAGCTGAGAAAATACTGTTCCCAAAACGCAGTGTGTCTTTCCGGGGATGGCCTGACCATGCAGAGGGCAGATGCGCGGAGGTGATCTGCTCTGGGCTGGACCCGAGCCCACAGCCACCTCTCTCCGGAGATTCTCCCTAAGCCTGAGGAGAGGTGCAAGCTCATCTGCATCCGCTGCTTCTCTGTACGTGGAGGGCAACTGATGTTTTGGCGTTTAAGGATGGCCCCTACTGAAGTTCACCCCGTTCCCTCGGGCACCTTCCAGCCTAGCAAATCTTTTTGAATCTTGATTGTGTCAGCTCCTGGATTAGTGATACCACACTATTAAGCTGTCTATGAACTCGATAAGCAGGTCTTCCTTTTCTTCATCCAAGTCATTAATAAGTTCTGTAACACTTGGCCAATGGTACGACCACAGAGACTCTTATGGTGGACAATCTTATTTAAATCTTGCTGAAATGTTGTTTTCAGTCATTTCTGGGTTGATTCATACAATAAGGCTTTGTTGCACCATGCAAATCATTTATTTTCTGAGCAGGGGACCCAATCTTGTTGTCCATCACATATTTTCTCTTACTAGTAATTTTTTTTATTAAAGTATGATCTTCTTACTGGCCCTAAAGGCACATGCAGATTCTCAGTTCTGCCCCTTTGCTAATGCTGTTCTCAACTGGACTGCCTTTTTCCTTTTCCGTGTGGGCCCAGCTCAAGCCCACCACCTCCAGGAAGGCTTCCCTCATCATAGCACCTAATGGAAGCACATCTCTTATTATGAGTCTTACTCAGTCTTGTATCATACTCAGTATTACTTAAATAAGGTCTCTCTCCAAAGATCAGAAATATGTAGCGCCTGGGGCCTCTCCTGCCCGCTCCTGTACCCCTTCCCGACAGGCCCCAGAACCAGCATTCATGAGCTCAGCGACCTCTCAGCCCTGTCTCCTTCTCTCACCCGCTCCATTCCCTCCATTCCCCCCTGGTCAGCTTCCTCCCTCTCAAAACAAGGGGCCTAGAGGGGCTGCATGCAGAGGTCATCTGAGCCATTCCGCTGCTTCCTGCCTTTCCCAGGCAGGCTCTCAGCGTGGTCTGGAACACTCTCCCAGGCAGCAGGCCTCACCCCTTTTCCCCGCAGGCTGTCCTGGGTCAGCTTAGTGTCACTAGTGCACTGGCCCCATTCTGCCTTCAGCCCTCCTCCACGCCTACCGCCCCCACCTCCTCATGCTCTCCTCTGGCCTCTGACAAGCTCTAGTCCTGGAGTCACAGGGTCCAGTCTAAAAACACAGCAAAAGAGCCCTCCGTAGGCAAAGAGGGGGTCTGATGGGAGGATGCGAGCGGAGCCCGAGGCATCGCGGGAAGCCCGCCTGCAGCAGAGGAGTGAGAAGCTGTAGCTCTGTGTAGCACGCGTGCACACGCGCATGCACACATGCGCAATAACACGCACACTCACACACTCCAACCTACAACTGGAAATGCTCTTCACCTCCAAGTAAAATGGAGAACAGATCTGAATGGTTTCAATGAGCTAACACTTTAACTAGTTCTCTTTCTGTGGCAGAATATTCCAAACTGACTTTGTATATTTACTGAATTTTGTAGCAAGATGCTGTGAGCTTCTGAGCTTTATTTCCGGAAGCCACGAGGAGTCGTGCTGCCTAAAGCCCAAACCCCAGCACAGACAGGCTTCCGAGCGGCCGGTCACAGGCCACCTAGCAGGCCCCTCACCTGCCTTCTCTGCAGACTTTCTCTTCTAAGATTTAAGTTTTACTCAGAAACATGCTGAGGGACTTTTATCAAGCCGAGGGAATAGAAAAGAAAGAAGAAGTCAAAATCTTCTTCAGGTGAGACCAGTTCTACAAAAATAAAAGGAGGATCTGAGAGGAGAGGAAGAGGAGG